CTAGACAAGTTTATAGTCACTGATTTTAGGTTTTCATTTTCTAGTGGACTGGACACTTTATCTAAAATCCTTTGCAGTCCTGGACTTAGATCAAATGATGCCCCTGACCATATGAATGAATGATTTTGCCTGGTCCCAGTTAATTTTGATTTTTCAGCCCTTTCATCTTGATCTCCTCCATCTTGATCACCTTGGTGGTGCTCATCAAGTACTGGATCATTTAGTTCTAATGCTCTAGGATATACTACAGTATGATGCTTCTCTTGAACAGGAAATATATCCGCATTGTCCAAAGCTTCAACCATCTGAACAGAATCCATTTCTGAAAATATAACAGATTCATCATTGGAAAAAGTCAACTGCTGGCAGGTATCTTGATTCTCATTTACATTTGATTTTTTAATTAGGTCTTCTTGTTGTAGACACAGAGAATCACTAAAATGGTGTGATGTTACTTCTGAAGGAAGGGGTTCTTTCGTTTGCACATCAGGTAATTGTTCTTTTACTAGATAGTCATCACTGAAACTATCAAAGAGTAAACTGTCACTCATATTCAAACTTGTTTCAGGAACTGGAAGACATTCTCCTTCTATACCAGTGGGAGTTCTCTTTTGAGGAATCAGAGGTATAACTGGTTTCACAGTTTCTTGTGTTTGATAACCTTGAAGAAAACTATTTAATTGAGAATCAGTAACAGAAAGTTCATTCTTTTTAAAACAAAGACCATTTTCCTCCAATAGTATTGGAGAATGGAAAATTGGGCTTTCTGGAGTCAGGATATCAACCCCATGCGAATCAGTGCTTTGTTTCATAGTACCTACAGTCTTAAGATCCAAATGATCTATCTTAGTCACTCCTAGAGGATGCTGCTTAGCAGGAAAAGGAATGTGACACTCTTTCTGAAAAGAGTTCATCAAGTTCTGTTGGACTACGCTCTTCTGCATTATCCCTGCTGCCAGGTTGGTGTCCTTTGCTCCTAGTTTGGTACTTTCAGTTGCCATCTGTTGCATTATTTTCTCTGACTGAGTATCCAGGTAGAAACTATCTTCAAAATCACAGTCAGAAATATGATTATTTCTAGTTTTGTTTGTTGTGTAAGTACCCGTTTTTTCTTGTAGTCTAGAAATATTTAGAAAATTCTCATGCTGGCCTCCTGATTTGCTAAATGCTTCAGTTGATGGAAATACTTCACTGGGTATTGCAGTTCTGCTTATATCATCTCCTAATGCCTGAAAATGACTTGGTTTATTTTCCTCCGTATTAAGCTTTATCCTTTCACAATTAATAGTAACATTTGAGTCTCTATTTATGTAACTACTGACTGCTTCACAGGGCATTTGTCTCTCTATTATATTTTTCTGTTGGGTAAAAGTGCTTGTCTGTTCATGAGATTGCTTTTGCGGGTACTGGTTAATTGGATCGGTGTCACAGTGTTTCACATAAACATTCTGGTTTTTTGAATCATTTTGTATCAGCACTTCATTTATTTTTTCTGCCTCAACAGCTACTCCTCTGCCCTTTTCACCAACCACACCAGTGGCCTGACAAGTCACATTTTTACTCTGAGATCCTGTGACAATGTCTTCCACAAAATTGTCATTAGTTAGTGTTATGTTCTGTGAACAACTTTGCTTTATTTGTAATGGGAATGATATTTTGTTATCTTTTTCCTTACCACTCAAAGATACATTTTTATCAAATGGCCCTGAATTTCTAAATTCCGTATTCTTCTCATCTAAGGTAAATGGGTCTTCACAAAGACTAGGATTAGACAGAGTCTGTCCCTGTAAATGGATTCTACATGCTCCAGAGTCTTTCAGGGGGCTGCTGTCCCTAGATTGCTTTAGATGCTTTCTATGTTTCCAAGATCGAAAACTTCTGCTCATCTTTTCTGAATTGAAATCCAAAGGTACCTTTTTTGTTTTCTCTGAAAAAGTCTTAACAACTTTCTTATTGCTTGTTTTCCCCGCATTCTGAGAGGCTCCTGGCTTCTCTTTATTTATATCCAAAGAGGCCCGTTTTTTTGCTCTGAAAATGGAATGTCTCTGATGTTCTTGATTCCCATCCTGGAAATTACAATTAAAGGAACTTGTATGCTCTCTACTTTTATTTAAGTCTTGCACTATATTTGGTGAATGCTTAATGTAAGAATCACTAAATATTGTGTTACTTTTGTTCTTTGATGTTAATTTTTTATAAGAACTCTTAGTTTGGGATATAAATGTGTGTTCCTTTACTTCTGACTCACTGTGAGTCAATGAACATGTACTAGAATGTAACAGGGCACAGGGATTCCATTGCACTCCCATTTCAACTAAGTCCTGCTGCAGAATCATTCTGGCTTCTTCCACTATAAGGGCTGCTGCTTCCCTTTCAGTTAAACCTTTTCTGCCAGTCACCCAGATAGTTCGCATATTCCGACGTTCTTCAACTGCTTCCTCTTCCTCATCCACTGCCTTCCGGGCACTACACAAAGAGATGGGAAAAGACAGAAATGAATTCATTCATTCGTAAAGCAAATATTTATTAAACATTCAATCTGAGCTGTTCTGGGAACTGGAAAAATGGCAATGAAGGTGAGAGAGAAATGTATCTGCTCTCATGGCACATTCTAGCTGGGGAATTCAGAAAATAAAGGTTTAAAATGCATTCTATATTACCTGGTGATAAGAGTTGTATACAAAAATGAGGCACCAGAAACGGGTGGGTGGTTCTGTAGCTTTTAAACGGCATAATAAAGGAAGGCTTTGCTAAGACAGATTCTTTAAGTAGAAGCCTTTAAAAAAGTGAAAGCCATAAAACTTTCATTGAAAAGCATCCAGCCAGGTGCGGTAGCTCACACTTGTAATCCCAGCACTTTGGGAGACCGAGGAAGGCGAATCACTTGAGGCAAGGAGTTCGAGACCAGCCTGGCCAACATGGTGAAACCCTGTCTCTACTAAAAATACAAAAAATCAGCCAGGCATGGTAGCAGGTACTGGTAATCCCAGCTGCTTGGGAGGCTGAGGCATGAGAATCGCTCAAACCTAGGAGGCATTACAGTGAAACAAGATCACACCACTGCACTCTAGCCAGGGCAACAGAGCAGGATCCTGTCTCATTTAAAAAAATTTTTAAAAGGCTGTATGCAGTGGCTCATGCCTGTAATCCCAGCACTTTGGGAGGCAAAGGTGGGTGTATCA